GACTTTCATTTTCAGCTGTTCATTTGAGTCGGTATGTTGCTCTCCAGCTCTTCAGCTTTCATTTACTCTTCAACAAAAAGGAAGAGAAAGCCTTAGCTGAGAAGGCCAAAGCGGAAGCTGAGGTTTGGAGAAATTCAAGGGCTTTTTCACTTTCAATCTGCTCTTCTATATAAATCCTTTTATTTGGGCGCAACAACACACCGCTTTCACACAACAGGATAAAGCCGGGGACGAAGCATTGACAAAGCACGATGAGGACCAACACTTCATTCGTTCTGTTTTCATTGTTTGTCCATTTTTGTGTGTACTGCTCATGGGGTTCAACAATTTTTTGAGACAACAGGAAAAGGTTCCCGAAAAGGAAAGCACGCCAGCTACCGATCAGATTGGCCCTGTGCAATGCTCCAATGCCTCCAGTGATACCTTGGAAGATGCGCAGGCTCTTGGCTGGGGCGTCAGACTTACCATCAGTTTGCCCCACGAGGGCACAAAAACGGTTCATGAAGAGAAGCAGCAGCGGCTCATCCTGAAGGCAGACGGCAAGGACCAGATTCTGTTCAAAGAGTCCCCATGGATTGGCCAATGGCAGGGCTACGTCTACACAACCATTGAGCACAGTGGCCGCCTGCACTCTGGCTATTCCTTGGACAAGGCTTTTGAGCCACGTGACACTTTCAAGGGCCAGAAAATTGGCAAGCGCTTTGGATTGAAGGATGGCGTTGGGCTTGGCTATCACTTTGATGAGAAAGGCGTTCCACCCAGTGCTGACCCAGCTTCTGATCAACTTCTTATCAAGATGGGCTGGGGCCAATCAAAGCCAGCTGCCACCACAACAGTTGTAGAGGAGACTCCAGAGACACCAAAGGCTGTTGAAGCACCACAGGTGGAGAAGCAGGTGCAGAATGCCACGGGTGTCGTTTCGGCTGGACCCCCTGCAGAGAGACCCAAGCAACATCAATTCAGCTTCGAGCTCCCGGAGAAAACGAAGAGTCCGGGTGAAAATCAGGTTGCCAACGTTACCTCCCGACGTGCTGCATTTAACGTGTTGCAAAGGTTGCGGAACAACCCGGAGAGACTGAAGGCTGTGCATCCTGACCTGCAAGCCAGATTGTTGGCATCTCCTTCAATCCCAAGTGAGCTCACTGCACAGTTGCAGAGTTTGGGCAATGATCTCCAAGTGTTGAATGCAACCTTCACACAGCAACGTCAGAGAAAGCAACCTGGGACAAAGATGTCAGCTCCATGAAGCCTATGACCGAACTTGAGCTCGTGCAACTTTATGGAGAGAAGGAAGCTGAAAAGGTGATGGCTCACAAAGTAGCTCAAGGGTTGTACGAGGCTGACGTCAACTTGCCCGGCAAGAAGTTGTATTTGATGATGCGCTCTAAAAGGCGCGGACTTGAAGTAACCTCAAAGAATGACATTTGATCGCATTTGATGTCTTGGCGCCATGAAAAACACATGTGTCCAGGGAGTCAGGATCTATCAATGAAGACCGTCTTGAACTTAGATTTTTTGCAGGAACGATTTGAAATAATGCTTTTGTCATGCGTAATGAGGCAAGCGAGTGTCAAGCGGAGAGCTGAAGATCGATACTGGAAACATTGGAATGACTACTGACTTGATGTGACTTGATCGCATCAAACAAATGCTTGATAGGACAGGATTTCAGTAAGCCTAAGCGGATGACTTCCTTTAGAATTTGAGGCGGCCTCCTTCTCGCCCTGTCCGTGCTGCAGCTACGCCATCGGCTGTTTCCCAAGTGCCAAGTTCACCGGCCCTCTCAGCCCCGTGCACACCTCAGACCCCGAAGGCGAAGGAAGTGTCTCCACCAACCAGCCTGGGGACTGATCAGCCCGTGCAAGAGGCGAAGGGTGATGCTAAGCCCAAGCGGGCTCCTAAAAAGCCGGCAAAGGACTTAGAGAAGTCTTCCCCGTTGGAGAAAGGACTGGTTTTGCCCACAGTGGATATCTTATGATGTGTCAAGATCAACAAATTAATATTGAATTTCAAGTTGCAAAAGCCGGTAGTTGTTGTTTGTAACGTTTTCCTGTTCCAGGAACAGATCTTGCAAAGCAGATTCTGAAGAAGAAAACGGAGGCGGATGAACTTGCAATGCAAATGATGACCATGCCATTTGGGGCTGGTGTGAAGCAAGAGCTTGAGAAGTTTGCCAGGCAGGGTGAAGCGAAGAGATTCCAACCCGCCAAGCCGGTCAACAAATGATGGGTCCTCCCCTTGCCAAAAGGAAATAATCGTGTCCTCACCTTCGCTGAAAAGACACGGCCAGGCAACTTTCTTTCCCCGTTTCACGATTTCATGCACAAGAAGTGATGGCAGCACAAAAGCAACATCTTGCTCTTTCTCGACTTGGTCCAGCCCTTCTGTAATGAGAAGAGGGATAGGCACAATGTATGGCATGAAAGGCAATCTGATCCTGGTGCAAAAACTTGGACAACATGTAAGTAATGGCAGGTGTGTAAGTGAGGACTTTTTAAATTCAAAATCATTCCCAGTAATCTACACACCAAGATTCCATCGAAAAAGATCACGTTCCTTCTTTGATTTTGCAAACTG